AATAGGTGGCACTGTTAAAAGGCTTGTTGCAACTGCTAGCTAGCTAGCTAGCTAGCTATATAATATATATATATGCTATATATATATGCTATATATATAGCTATATATATATATGTTAGCTATATATATATGCTATATATATATGCTAGCTATATATATATGCTAGCTAGCTAGCTAGCTAGCTAGCTAGCTAGCTTGCTAGCTAGCTAGCTATATAAGCTATATATAGCTATATATAGCTAAGCTATATATAAGCTATATATAAGCTATATATAGCTAGCTAGCTAGCTAGCTATATAAGCTAGCTAGCTAGCTAGCTAGCTTGCTTGCTAGCTAGCTAGCTTGCAGAGTCCAACCACAGTTCAATTACTGTCTTCTCAAGCAATATTTGAATACTGTCAAAAGTCAATCAGTGGGATTATATTTGTGTACATCCCTGCTGAAGAAATGGAGCTAGTGAAATTTAACCTTACTGATAGACTTTTAATAGCAACCACTATTCCTGAGACAAGAACTTCTCATCAATTTATACCATCTTCTCATTCAATTAAAAAAATGAAAAGGGTATAAGATGATGATGATTTTGCTCTAGCATTGATTGATGCACAATACTTATTTTGTACATACAACAATTGTTACTGGCTTGGTATGGTTTCTGAAATTGATAAAGAGAATGATGATTTTAGAGTAAAGTTTATGCACACACATTATCCTAGTCGGTTGTACTTCTGACCAAAGCGAGATAATATTTGTTGGGTGCCAAAAATGAATATCATTTCTCTTGTTAAAATGCTGTCAACATCTTCTGGGCGTCAGTATGTCAAAAGAAGATGAAACTCTATTTAAACAGCTTTTACTCTGTCAGTGAAAGTTGATGAATATTTTCTTTATTTATTTAAATGATATAAGCTTCAATTTTAGAAATATTTGGTTTTTCCTTTTTCCTTTTTTTTTTTGAATTTTTTTCAATAAAGCAGATTTTTTAATATTTTTCAAAAAAGTTTGCATTTTAGTTTCTCATTTTTTAATACATTTGAGCATACAATCTAATATTTAAGCATGCAAATTATGGAAATTATATTTTTAATTTATTGTTATAGTAAATTATATTTCCATGCTTACTTTTGAAAACATTGATTATAAATATGCAAGTTATGCAAAGTAATATAATTTTTTAATTTTCTTCCAGAGACCGAAACATTTTTAGGACCTCTTATTTCACAATGAGAGTGAGCTTCAGAAATAAGTGAAATGTAACCATGGTTACAAAACAAAAATTTGACTGCTGATATTTTAAAATTAAAAAATTATTCTCAAATATTTAGAATTAGATTAATTTATTTTTATCTTTGTATTTAATATCTTTAAAATTGGTCGGGTACCAATTTTCAATACTATTTCTCCACTAGAACTGAATCTTTTCACTCAATAAGTATTATTATAAATTCCAAAATAGGGAATAGAGGCTACAAAAATATTTCTTATGTCTTAATTTCAAAAAGAAACCAAAACCATTTTAACATATAAAGATAGCCAAGGGTCACCTACTTCATTTGAAAAAAATTGAATCCATGAGACTTGGGCAACTCTGGGAGTTAATAAAACAAACCTTGGTAAAACAACAAAAAAATTAACTGACCATTTTAAAATCAAAAAGTAACCATCAAAAATTTAAACTTCACTATTTTCTCTACATTTTTGATTTTAGCACCCTCAAAAGGTGCCCTTTTTTAGCCACAGGTAGGTACCCATTTTTAGCCACTTTTTTAATTTAAATTAAATTCACCAAGAGCAAAAAGGTCTGGTAAACTTGGCAAAAGGTAATATTAAACTTGTAAAAGTATACTTTTGAGATTAAAAATATTTAAAAAGATAAAAATTTAATGGTAATGTTTCTGTTTTTTTGTTTTTTTGTGTGTGTGATGTGTGTTATTTGTGTGTTTAATATGTGTATTATTCAAAAAACAGAATTATTCAATAAACAGTATGTGTATTATTCAATAAACGGTTGTATTATTTCTGCTAATCAAACCACTATTGTAAACCACTAAATCTCTTTTATACCACTGTATCTTATGTAAACCACTATGTCTTTTGTGCACCACTATATTTCTTGTAAGCTAATACTTCCAAACTGTACAAACAGTAGAACTAGTTATATATATATATATATATATATATATATATATATATATATATATATATATATATATATATATATATATATATATATATATATATATATATATATATATATATATATATAATGAAAAAATAATTTTTATTAAACAACTAATAAATAAAAAAGTGTAAATTGTACAACCAAATCATTTTTAAATTGCAAAACATTACAAAAAAAACTCAAATTAAAATTTACAAAAAAATATGAGTTCGCGGTTTGAAATGTTTGGGTTTCTTACAAATTATGGTACCAGACAATGCACCATAATGGATATATCATTTAATTCAGTTATCTATTAAATCAGCTATCTGTTTTGTCAAACTTTATGTAGCAATTGAAAAAGTTTCAAAGCGTTGATTAAAATAACTTATCATCCTTTATTTTTATGGGAGAGTTTTGTAGGGTTTGCGAAAACCCGGCATTTTTAGACCCAATGAGCCTGAGTCGAGCCTATGAATATTTATAGGGTTCGGGATCAGGTCCGGTTTTTTTTAAGTTAGGCTTTAAAACAACTTTTTGTTTCAAAGCCTAACTTAAATATACTAATAAATAATTATACTTAAGTTAAACTACCAAATCGACTTGATAGTACTTTAAAAATATATATAATATAAATTAAATACTTATAAGTGTTTAATATACAATAATTTATTTAGTTTTTCCTCTAGTGTTGATGTTAATGCGCTTTCTGTAGTATTTTCTAAATCTTAGTTTTAATGGCAATTTATTTGAGTTATTTATTTTTCATTAATAGCTCTCTACTTAAATTATTATTTATCATTAATAGCTCTCTACTTAAATTACCATTATATTCTTTTAACTTTCTTATCATAAAGCCAATTGCTAATTGGAATGTTGCAAGATTAGCATTGTTTCTGCAAAGAGCTTTAACAGTTAGTTTAAAAGGCTTTAGCCTATTGTCAACTCATGTTTAATATTAATATTTTCTATTAAGTGCACACTTCCAATACCTTAAGGAGCTTCTTCAATGATGATTGAAAAAACAATGAAAATTGTTTTAAAAAACATTAGTGAATAATATAATTTACATTTTTATTATATAATGCCTCTTTCTGGATAAGGTTTACCCAACAATTTTTTAATTGACAATTTTGACCCAACGGTCAATCAGGCCTTGCGATAAAGCGTCGGGCGATGTGAATTTTACGTCGTCCAAGGGGGATTTTGCGTGTAGCTAGGGCTATTTGCGTCGAGCAAAAAATTTTTTGTTTGAGTATATTTAAAGATATTTTTGAGCGGAATTTTAATGAAGTAATTTACGATTATTTTAACATTTAATAAAGTATTTTAAAAACCGCACGCAGTTGATCTAAAAGTTTGAATTACAAAATAATAAATATGCTCATTAGTTATCTTTAGTTATCTTTTTGCTCATTAATTTTAATCTGAAAAAATTCAGATTAAAATTAATCAGCAATAGCAAAGTTGTCGATAAAATTGAACAAAAATACTTTCTTTTAGATTTTTAACTTAAATAATTATTTTACAGGGGTTTGTTAGGTTTTAAAATTATTCCATAGATTTAAAAATATTTATTAACTCTTAGACGAATTTAAAGTATTTAAGAGTAATTTCGAGGAAACATTTTAAAAATTGGTAAGCGCAAATAAAAAAATAAAAGGATTAATATTAAAACGTATTCTACTTGATTCAATAAAAAAGTACAGTTATTAAAATTTTTGTAAAAAGGTTAGTCGAAAAAAATTACTTTATTAATAACAATCGCATTTTTGTTAAAAGTTATCGAAACTCAACGAAGCGTGCTCAAGAACAGCTGCTGAAAAATAGAACGTCAGTAGTTTTTCGAATAATTTTTAATAATAATTTTTAGAAATAATTTTTTCGCTGAAATATTTCTTTTATACCTAAAAGATTTTTATTCTAACATTTTATTTTATTTACCAAAAATAAAACTCCTTGTAAACATTAAAAATCTATTCAAAACGTTCGTTAAAGTTTTTTAATAATACGAGTGATTGTGCTCATCAACCGCTTTATGAAAATAAATTAAAATAAATAAATAAAAAAATATTATATAAAATCGCTAGTAAAAATATTAGCTATTGCACAGTTTTTAATCGTACATTATAAAAATTTCCAGTTTATTACTCTCTGACTTATTAAAAAGAAAAAATAATTATTTGAAAAACTTATTTTTTTTATTCCTTTAGTATAGACAAAACGTGTCAAACGTCGAGAAAATAAACAAATGTTTTTACATTTTAAAAAATGAAACATTCCAAAACATTTTTAAATAATAACATTTCTACATTAATGATTTAAAGAAGTTTTGCGGTAATTAAGTAAATTGGTGCAGTTAATGTCGATAAATATGAAAAGCAAGTAAAAAGAATTTAATGACATCAAAAATCACGTCGTGCTTATGCGTCGCGCAGTTCTTATTCATCGCAAGGCCTGGTCAATGTAATTAAATTTTTTGACTGTGGGCCTCCCTAATAATAATATAAATGCAGCCCTATCTAAGCATGCTATTAAGCATCAGAGAGAGTTGCCTATAAAAGTTAGGGATTCACAAAACAACCCTCTGCGTGTAAAACAAGGTCAGGAATTCAAATCATGAGGCTCGCCGAGTCTTAGACCGGGTATCAGTTCCGGGTAATTAGCTACAGACTCGCCGAGTCCGAGTACGGGTACCCAGAACCAAAAAACCCTAGAGTTTTAGGAAACCTTATCTCTGCAAGATAAAAGATTATCACTATTAATATAGGAGATAAAAGATTATTATAACTAATATGGAACAATATCAGTAAAAATATTAATTATAAAACGATCTTACCAATGAGTTAATAATTGTTGAAACATTTAGGTTTCCTCATTGTTACATCTTAATAATCCATTCAGATTTACAAGAAATATGCTGACAACATCCACATTATCTAAAATCATCCACTCAATTAGCTGATTCTTGCATACTTTAATGTTAAATAGTGTTCCATTAAAATATGCAGCAGATCCTAAAAAACTGTATATATAAAATTACTTATTATTAATTATTGCAAACAACTTGTACATAGAAACAGGCAGAAGGTCTTTAGATAAATTGTAAAAAAAAAGAAAGAAAAGTATAAAACAATTTAATGTTAAAATACTATCAATATTCATATTTACTCTCAATATATAAATTTTGAAAATGGGGTATGTACAATTTTAATTAGGTTTTTACAAAAAAATAAGAAAACAAAAAATAATGAAATAAATGATTGTTGCAACAAACCCTTTTTCATTTTAATAGAATACCCTGCATGTTTTCAATATTGAGTGTTATAATGTGTCTTTGTTTTTTTTTTTTTTTGGGTTGTCAGGAAGATCGTTTATGTAGATAAGAAACAAAACAGGGCCCAGGTTGGCCTTCAAGGATGACTTTAATAAACCGGTTAGAAAGAAATGATTTGATAATCTCAAAAACTTTCCCAGAAACACCATATGAATAAGCTTATGGAGAAGACCAGCATGCCAAACTTTGTCGAAAGCTTTAGATATGTCGAGAGCAATAGCCCTAGCCTCACCGCCTCCATCTAATGCACGATAAAATCTTTCAGTTACAGCAGTTAGCAAGTCGGCCGTAGAGCGAGAGGATCAAAAACCGTATTGATTGTCTGACAGTAGTTTATTTGACTCAAAATGAGATGTGAGGAATTTGTTGATCAAAGACTCAAAGACCTTGCTAATAACAGAAAGAAGACTGATCGGACGATAATTGGAGGGGTCAGAATTTTCTCCAGAGTTTTTGAATATTCGAACCACAGATGCCATTTTCCAACAAGCAGGAAAACAAGACTCAGTCAAACACTTGTTAAATAGTTTAGAGAGAATTGAAGAAAGTTCTCGAGAACAATTCTGCAAGACTGTGACAGGAATGTTGTCTGGACCACAAGCTGTAGACGAGTTTAATTGAGATATGACTTTAGCAACAAAAGTCGGAGTGATTTGAATGTCTAACAATGGGTAACAATGGGTAACAATGGTGTTTATATTGGTAATTTGTAATAATATAAATAACTATTGACATAATCTTCCTAGATTGCAGATAGACACATACTAAACTATTTCTTTCCATCTTGTCTAAAACCAAAGCAGATACTGCTGTAACGATTTTTACACAATGCTATACAACTTGCATGTGACATTAACTTTTCCAAAAGATCCACGATGCTCTTTTACCTCTATTAATATGTTTAGAAATAATGTGTGTATATATATACATATATATATATATATATATATATATATATATATATATATATATATATATATATATATATATATATATATATATATATATATATATATATATATATATATATATATATGTATATATATATGTCACTAACTGTTTTTTGAGTTTAACACAACATAATTACAAATAGATAGTATGTAGTTGGAATGTAGATATAGATTTGTCTATTTTGCATATGTGGTTATGATTTGTGATTGAGTTTTCATTTTAGGATTCATATATATATATATATATATATATATATATATATATATATATATATATATATATATATATATATATATATATATATATATATATATATATATATATATATACATATATATATATATATATATATATATATATATATATATATATATATTTATATATATATATATATATATATATATATATATATATATATATATATATATATATATATATATATATATATGAATCCTACAGGGTTAGGGTTAGGGTTAACCCCTAACCCTAACCCTAACCCCTAACCCTAACCCTGACGGAATTACTAAAAGCATACCATTTGCACGTTTAAGTTTCTTGTGCAGCTCATCGATATGGAAGTTCCACAAAAGATTGCAATCAATTAACACACCAAGATATTTAATAACTCTCGAGGGGTATAGTCACTTATTATTTATTTTGATTTTAATTTCAATGTTGTTAAGTTTTTTCTGTTGTTGTTACAGTTTTTTCTAGGAGATAAAAAAAAATTAGTTCAGTCTTTTCGGTATTAAGACATATTAGGTTAGTGTCTAACCAATGAACTATACCTTCAAGATCTGAATTTATATTTTTACATAGAGAATAGTATGATTTGTTGACATGCAAGAGATTGGTATCATCTGCAAATAGATAAACCAACGAGAAGTGAACAGAGTTACTTAGATCATTAATGTAAATTAAACAAAAGAGGACCAAGAATGGAAGCTTGAGGATCACCACATGTAACACATTTGTTACTAGAAGTATAACCATTAATACTTACATTTTGTTTCCGGTCCAAAAGATAAGATCGAAACCAATCACTTGCAACTCCATGAATTCCATATTGTTCTAATTTAGAAATCAAAATGCTGTGATCAATGGTATCGAAAGCTTTTTGTAAATCTATAAAAACACCACAAGCAAAATGACCAGTATCAAGAGCTTTTCTAATTTTTTTCAGTTATATTTATTAGTGCGTGGCAGGTAGAATGGTTTGATCAAAAACCAAATTGAAAATCATTTAAACTAATAAAAGTTAAAAGAGTTTAGAAAAGAGTACATTCTAGAATACATTAATTTTTCAAGAGGCTTACCAATGTTAGATTAAAGAGAAATAGGTCTATAGTTAGTACATAAAAAAATAGAGCCATTTTTGAAAAGTGGAATAATACAAGATAATTTTAAAATATCAGGAGAAATTCCATTCATGAATGAGATATTAAATAGTGTAAAGAGAATATTTGAAAATTCGTAGTAAAAATCAATAAGAATGTTTGCAGGAATACTGTTTGGACCTAATGATTTTCTCGGTTTCAATTTAGATATAAGAGATGAAATTTCAGGAATGTTTGTTGGAGATAAGAGTAGACTATGAAAGTTTGGATATTAAGAACTTTTGGTAGTTGACGTAAGACGAATGAATATTGGATTTAAGTTTATGAGCAACATTTGAAAAAAAAGTGTTAAATTTTTCTGAGATTAGGTTCAGTTAAATATCATCTTCTAAATTTCTAAACAGTTGGGAGATAAGCTGTTATAATTTTTGACATTTATTAGATTATTAATGCCTTTCCAAATTTCGCAAAGATTTTTTACATTATCTGAAAAGAAATTTTTAAAATGGATTTTCTTGCTAAGTTTAATTAAAGTAATTATCATAAATTTATATCGCATAAAAATAGTTTTAAATGTGTTTATATTTATTAAATCTTTTGATCTTAACATTTTTTTTTGAAAAAGATTGCTATTTGAATAGATTTTATGATTCCATTTCTAATCCATGGTTTAAATCGACAATTGAAGCTTTTAATACTAGTTTACATTTTAAGTATTCATACTACGTACTATCTACATAATTACATTACAAAGTGAACTCATGGTTTATAGGTTATTCCATATGAAAATAATTTACTTTTTAAAGTGAAAATAAATTTGCTTACCACCTCAGATTTAGTTCAAATTTTTTCAATCAACAGATTTTATATATAAATAAAAATCAACCCTGCAAATTTTAGCTTACTTGATCTATACATCAATAAGCAACAATTGAAAATATATGACCAAATAACTGACCAAAATTTGGAATAATTAAGTATTAAGGGCTAACAGTAAACTTATCTGATTTTGACATAACTTGTCCACAAGAGAAAACTTTACTTCTAAAAAATATTTTTTCCCACACCTTAAATCATTGTGATATCAACAAAAACATTTTATTAACCATCCATTCGGCTAAAATTTTGTTACAGCATTAATTTAAGTCATATTACAGTATTTTCAAATATATTATTTATCAATTGATTTTCATATTATTACTATTATCAAGGAACTTTTATGCTATATCATCTCATATTCATCAACTTTGTTTTAATTTTCACAACTTTGGTGTTTTAAAAAGATCTTATATCCTTCATGTTTAAATTTTTATATTTTAGCAGGTAACATTTTCAATGATTTTTTTTTGTGTAATGTTTTTTCCACTATCATATATTATTTAATTTTTGTTACATTTACAATCTTACATTTTAGATTAACAAAATTTAAATGAAGTATCTATGACAATGTTAGAGTTTATTGTAAACTTTATAAGACTTAATGTGTATAATTTATAAAACTTATTGACTTTATAAGACTTATTGTGTTTTATTAATTTTAAAAGGGTTTTTAATAGGGTATATTTCAATTTGATTGTCTTTGGTTTATTTATGCTGGAAGCACATATTTGGTTTTAATTGTCTTAGAGGGAAATTTATTATTATTTTTGTTTACATACTGGAGTTATTTTAGTTTTGCTTTGGTGTTTTCATTAGAATTTTAATTTATTGTGAGTTCATGTTTTCTACCAGTGGTGTGGTAAATGATTTATTTATTTTTTTCATTTTTAGGCTTTAAATATTTGTATACATACTTTTTATTTTGTATTAATGTTTTTGTTTTATAAGTTTTTGTTTGGTGATATTTGTTGTATATCTGTTTAATATTGTTTAAAAAAAAAAAATTAGTTGTAAGTACTGTTTGAGAGCATTGTCTGTCTTATTGTTGCTATCGTATTTGTATATTTTTGAATATTCATCTAATAATCTTTATTTTTGTCTTGACAACCAACAAAATATGCTTTGTTTGAAAAATAAATCCCTTTTATTCTAATGTACCTCATTTTTCCCTTAAGTGTTGATTGATTGTTTGTGACCATACAGCAAATTAATGTGCATAAATATATCAAATTTTAGTTTTTTTGTGTAACTACACTGGTATGCTTAAATTTTGGTTATTTTACTTATGTTACCATAAGTTTTTGTACTTATGTTACCATGAGTACAAAACAACCTGTAATAAAAATTAAAACTATGCATTAAATATTATATAAAAACCTACAGCTTGTAAAAAAAAAATTTGTTTATAAAATATAGACTTCTTTTTCAACTATAGCTGATTGTAGTGTAACCAGGAACATGGTAGAAATCGAACTCAGAACCTCTCACTTACAAATCACTACACCATTACATCATTAATTA